TAACAAAGATCATAAAAATCAGTCCAGCTGTTCTCAAGTTATAAGTGTTGTAACCAACCCGACTTTGTTTAATATAATATATAGATTATAGATGTATATAATACAGATGGGTCCAGGATGACGGCTGACATAAACTTTAATAATTACATTTCTGATTGCTAATACCAAATAGAATGCTGCAAAATATTTAAATAGAAATTTTAAAACGTTTTCTACACTTGGCTTACTGCCCTTGACCCAAAAATAACAAAACATCCGTCATGACATGCTAACACACTGGCTTTTCTTATATCAAGTGCCCTACCTCACATGCCCTATTGTTAGTTTCGTAGCACCGCTTTTAGTTCTACTAATGACTGTAAAACTTTGCACTTACATAACACGAGAATCTGTCAACTGTCTCTTGTTTCGAAGACGCTGTCGCAAATTACTTTCTCGCAATTGGAATGCGGTGCTCGAATAACGTACACTTCTGGCCCTCGAGCTACTTGACGTCTACTCTGATTGGTACGGGGGGATGATAAATCGTAAATTCTAATTAGCAGTTCGGTATCATTGTCTTAGTCATGATATCTAAGGGTATTTGTTAATTTATTGACAAGTATTACTTGTCTTATATAAGTACCTACGTGGTTTTCAGTAATCAATTTCTTGGCACTTTAACGTGACTTATATCCAAATTAAGTCATCGCGTGTAGAGACAGTTCATCCCTCTTCAATTCAAAATTCAAAATATTTTATTCAGCATTAAATTATTACAATTTTTTACTGAACGTCATGAGTCTACTACCAGTTCGGAAAGAAGAAGCCTCAGACCTGAGAAGAACTGGCGAAAGAAACTCTTCTCTTATAGTATTTATTAACGCTACACTTTCATCTACTTTGCTTCATGATCTACTTGCTTTATCTTGAAGCTAGAGCTATTATTATGTATATCAAGAAAGAAAATATGCCTTAAGTTAAATTGTTATTTGTCACCTTGAGGCAGGTGACGCGTAGTGAATACAATGCTCATATGTAACTTATGTACCGTACTTATAAATTGGCGCAGTGTCGTTCAACAAGAATATTTAAATCCTGTTTATTTTCTACACTCTAGTGACCTAATGGAGCGTCAGCTGACACAGTATGGTTTTCTTTCGCTGAAACTAAAGTAGGCGATGTTTATATCCCCGTCCCGCTCACCCGTCCCGCTCACCTGACGCCGCAATAACCCAGCAGCGCGCATAATTGGATAAGGCTGATAATCACTCGTGGCCTTGCGTCTAACAATGCGCTATAACGTATACTATTCACGAGGCAAGTATTGCCTCGTTTTCTCCTTCACTGCACATTACTTCCACACTTGGCCGGCTAATATTGCTGTGGACCAACTCTTCGGTCATACTAGTAACTAGTATACCTACGCTTCTAAAGGACTTGGCGCACGTGTAATGCAAACGTTGGATCCAATGTTCTATTTTTGCAAAGACCCACGTTACATACAAGTTGTTATGCTGCAGAGTGCACTATTGGATAATCATATAATGTTCACTATGAATATTTACTAAGTACCTACCTATCATAAAAGTATTACAATACGTTACTTATATGATACCGTATATGATATATCATTTTAAGTATATGTATAATTGTATTTGTTTTATAATTTTTCATCTAACAATATTATATATTTTTGTACGTCTTTCTAAAAATATGTAAATATGTAAGCGCGTCGCAACGTGGCAAAAAGGTCATCAAACTAATATTATCATTGACCGAAAACTGACACCTACTGGTGTTGGTTCAAAGTGCGCTTAGTTTTGGCCCACTGCTCCTAATTATTGAAACATTGGACCGCCACCAAGAGTTAATGACCTGGTTTCAGGGGAATATATGCGCTAAATTTATCACTAATAAATAGTATAATTGTCCAGCAGAGAGAGGGTCAAGGGAGCGAGACCGGTTCTATGTAGCTAACGTTGCGTAATCCAGTCCGGTTTCCAACCGCTAGACTGGTGAAGATGGCTCTAGGCAAGAACAAGATATAGAAGATTCAATTAAAGACAACTTTGGAAGTAAATAATCAGTTTTATTGGATTTTTATGCCCATAAGCAATTTGTGGCACCAATTCATTCATCATTCTTCATTCACCTGCAGAAATCCTACGGACTTGCACATGGTTCAAATGTTATAATACCACTGCCATTTACATATATGTAGCCTAAAGAAATTATTTCGTATTATAACATATAGATTATCATATATTATAATAACTATAATTAGTATTGACGATTCTGTAATTTATGAAAAGACTAGCGACTCACTCTCGCTTTGCTCGGGTTCATCCCTAGATTGATTCCCCATAGAAACTTTCATGCCCATTTTCACCCCCTTAAGGGATGATTTCTGGGATAAAAACTCCTATGTCCTTCCCAGGATATCAAACTATTTCCTTGCCAAATTTCATCTAAATCGGTTCAGTAGTTTCGGAGCCTATTCGGTACAAACAAACAATAAATCAAACCTTTCCTCTTTATAATATTAATATAGATATACATAGCTACTAGTAAAATATTACAAAAAATATGTAGTTGATTAGATATTAATTTCAAACTATTATCGGAATATAATGTAGGGCAAATAATTATAATGTTAAATGTATAAATTTTCCGTTACCTCGCTACAATTTCCATAAAATAAATGGCAGCACGCAATGCAGCAGTTTTTAAATTAAAACACCATGCACCGAACCGCGCTGGAAGTGTCGACAAGAAATAATTGTACCAAAATCAAACAATAATGCAAAGTAAGGCAGTCTTTTCATATAAATGCAAGAAAAAAGACGTTTTGTTAAGGGGCCAACAGTATTACGAAACAAGGACGACAAGTAGGCAGTGACTTAGCCATTGTTTCCAAGGACTTCATTCCCGCGGGTAACATCTAGAATAATGCCAGCATTCAGCTCGCTCATTTGGGGGCATAATGAAACTGGTTCGCGTTAAATGAGTTTTTAATATGAATTCCTCGCTATTGTTCAACACTAATTGATGTCCCTAATTCCATTGTTCGTCTAAATTGCTTCATATTTGGCGCTTGATTTGTAATTTTGAATATTTTAAATAGTTTCATATCTCGGAAAAACCTTAATATTTTTTTATATAAATAAATCTTTAATGGAGTAACTCCTTCAGAAAGAAACATAAATAATAATTTCCAAAAACAAGGTATAAAGACACACACTAAACAGCCTTCGCATTCGCATTTTTACATGCGGCATGCCTCAAGAAGCCAGAAGAAAGCAATAATAACTCATTCACCTACAACTTTGTTCCACGCTACATATTAACTGTGGAGGTCACGCGTGTACACAATAGTACATTAGTATATTAAAATACGTGTTATATTTACGAGTAACTTCCGTTTAAATAGACTTTTAGAGCTACGTTATATGTATTTAATTCAAAGCGATAATACATTCTTTTAACTTATGTTGCCATGTTAAAACGTTCTGAAACAAAGTATGACCTATGGTTAATATATGTACAACTTAAGTAACGTAATCTTTTGATTAATTATTCTTTTATTAATTCCCATCTACTACAGAAAAATTTATTACACCAGTCATTACATAATTCAAATGATGGAATACATCACGCTTAGACCTGGCCTTCCACGTCGGCCTCACTCACTTCATGTCAAAAATCCATATCATTTGCCGCAGGTGTCGAGTGGATTCAAGGAAACTCCGTTCACGAACGAAGCCGTTCGACGAAAGTTATTACGAAAATAATACAGTACCCAGTACGAGTTTAAAAATTGCGGAAATATTGTTTATATGTAGTGTAACTCAAAAAGTCTCTTCGCTCTTTAGGGAAGTGATTTCTTATTTCTTTGCAAAGATAACACAAAAGAGGACTTTATCGACGCGGCAAAGAAGTATTTATAAATATCATTTCTTAATATAATCTGTTCTTATAAAGCTATAAATAAAGCAATTATATTTTTTTAAGATATACTTCTTTAGGCGCGTTATGGAAAAAAATATGAAAGTGTTTTTTTTACGATGCGACAGATTTAGACTTCAGTGTAAAGTTAGCCGTTATTAGACTATAGTATGAAGGTAGTCGTTATATCTCCCTTCAGTATAGTGTGTAGTGATGTCTATATTCAAGATATTTATTCCAGTGTTTCTATATACACAAAACGTGTTTTATATCGATAAAAATAAAATATATTTATATCAAATAATTTTTTTTCAATTTTATCAGTAATGAGTTGATTGGTCCATTAACTAATTTATCTTTGATCATATGTTAAAAATGAAGCAAGAACTATTTATAAACTAAAGGAAGATAAAATTCCTGAAATAACTCGATCATTGTATGTTAATAGAGTTGTTGGTATTCATGTACGAAGTATTTACATGAGACTCGCCATGCAGAATATATAATCTACAAGATTCAGAATATTCTGCAGATTTAATCTTTCTTCATGTCTCCTAAAAGTTTAACTTGAATCGTATGGTATTACGATAAATGCTCCCGACTGTTGGGAATAATGTTAATCCGTGCTTTTATAGGAGCTTACGAATAATAGTTGGGATAGACCGTTTGAATTTTCTGAATTGTTACTTTTAGTTAGCTCTATAATTACATACTTACATATAACTTTACAGTGAGTACTTTTCTGTGAAGCAGGTTTTTTACTCCGAACTCATATAATTACAGAGTTCTTTAAAAGATTTTACCCTGTAAATTTAGATTGTTGAATATTTTTTGCTGTAATTTTAAAGGTTTTGGAAAAATAGTAACTTGATGCTCTAAAAAGGTGAGCCTTTTATGTTCGCCTACACAATATTACAAAGTCAAGTAATAAATGAAATCTATTTTTTTCAGATCTTTACAGATGTGTGTTTGTTTCCTTTCGAATTACCCACTCGCTACTTCTGTTTGATTAACTTTTTAGCACACTTTACCTCAATTCAAACTAATATCCCTTATTATGTTTCTTCGTTCAGGCACAACAGAACGAGCATGCTTAATCACTGGATCAGTCGACGGCATCATGGTGGTGCTTGACTTTATCATGGAGAAGATTAAGGAAAAGCCAGAGCTTGTAAAACCATTCCCCGAGGGTGTGGACGCGAAGATGCCACAGGATAGGGATAAGCAGGTATGTTGTACTAACAAGTTTTTCTATATTTTTAATATAACAATTAAAAATAGTTGAATGCTGTTTGTATGACGAATTTCTGCTTTATGGTTGTTGCTGTGTCTCAATAGGTGATACACAGTAGCTCGAAAAGTAAATATTTAGTTATATTTTTAAAATAAAATTATATACTGAACGTAAAAATCTGTTACTCTTGTTTGTAGTTGTTTTCAATTGACTTAAATAACATTACTTTTAGTTAAGTAACGTCTGGCTTCTTCCACGCGCCAACTAGGAAATTGCAAGAAGTGGGACGTATCCTCATTCTTACAAAGCACACTGGAGAAAAATATTTATTGCTTATAACATTTTGCACGATTTCATTTCACAAAAATCACTTGAACAATAAAATAAGCTTATACGCAGCGTTTACTATGCTTAGGAAATAAAAATGGTACCTATTACCTATGTATGCTTCGGTGCTACGAAATACGAATAATTAATTAAAGCAAACCCTTTCGCAATAATAAGATTATGGGGTAAAAAATGGCTTTAGAATTTAGATAATTAAATAAGTGATATACCTATTGTCTGCGGGGTAATTACCGTTGTTGTTCACGTCAAGCAGTCGTCATGTCTGTATCTTTACTTTTTAACTAAGATTGGTCTGATACTTAAAAAAAATAAATTTTAAATTAATAAATGAATATATATATAATTATTAATGTATAATATTTATTTATAATTATTATTAAAATTAATATATGAAACGACTCGTTATTAACACACTTATTAGTTTCTCTTGTGTGTATGTACCTAACTAACTCTGTAATCAAATTTTTGAAATCGATTTTCACTACCTACTTCTAATTGTTGTATTACAATTCAATAATTTGACACCATGAAGTTGTTATTATGGATCTAATATGGCGAGGAGGTGATTTGTGAAATTTCTTAATGCTATAAGTCGAATCCTTGATTTTGGACTCTTGATTCGTTTTCACGAATTCAAACATTACAATCGATCAAAAGCGTATTTTGAAGTTCTTATAAAGCTATGAAATTTTAATTTAAATATAACATAAAACGAATATTATTAATATTAAACTTCAGTCTTCATCAACAACTGTAGCAGACGTCGCGTTGACGAGGATAACGGCACTTAACTTACACTGTAAAGTGGATGAATTTATTTCCAGCGCTTGGGTACTTGATAGAGTTCAGCTGAAGATTTTTTGTTTGCATTTTTATATTCTACTACCGTTTTTTTAGTAATAATTCATGTTTACCCGATGTTATACGTTTATGAACTACATATTATAATCTGTAGTGCATACTTCAAACATTGACGTAACGCAACTTAATTATGTTAATTATAAACGGTTAAAGTGCAAAACTTTCAACTGAAGGTCGTATTTAAAATAAAATTCACATAAGTTTCCATGAAAACGTATAAATATCAGCTATCGTGAAAAATAATTATCGTGAAAAAACCTTTGATCTCATATCATAACGACTGACTCTGAGCTCTGAGAGTGAAGTACGAGTTTTATTGACATTCAAAAACGAGAATATTTCCATACTATCCATAATAGAAGAATAATAATGTAACATTATATTTCCATACGAGATAGGAAGAATTGAATTAAAACTCGCACTAAGGCTCTGATTCGGTATGAGACAGAAGTAAGAGATTTTAAGTAAGACTATCTTTTCCGATTTTTTCGCGGGTTTATTTAGATTTCTGGTTCCCGACGTTTCAAAAAACCCAAAAAAGCTGTTATTTAAAACTAGCGACTCACCCTCGCTTCGGTCGGGCTCATCGCTAGGTACGTTTTAATGATTCTTATGGAATAGAAAGACTGTAAATATTATACTAGCGATTCACCCTCGCTCCGTTCGGTACCACCCTTATTACTTAGGGGTATGAAAAATAGTTTACCTCCTATTCTCAGACCTATTGAATGTACACACAAAATTTCATAATAATCGGTCAAGCCGTTTTTGAGTTTTAGCGAGACTAATGAACGGTAATTGATTTTTATATAAGTACTAGCATAGCCTGCAGCTCCGCCTGCGTTCAGATGGCCAAAAACGAAGTTATTAGGTTTTACATATTAGTATACTTTTACATTGCAGTTTTTGTATTTCTTCTCAGAAATGAGACATTTTCCTGCGGTAAAAAGTACCCTATATGTTGACCCGGATAATCAGCTATCACCATACCAAAATCCCTCCAGTGGTTTTTCTGTGATGCGATAACACACAGACAGACAAAAATTATAAAAACTATAGATTCGGCCTCTGTATCGATAATAATATCTATTTCAATTAGATTTTCCAAATAAAATTTAATGTACAGATTCGACTCAGTTAGAATTTTATTATATGTATAGATATACGAGTAGATGTCCAATATTCGCGTAAATGTAAACGAAAGTATTATGAAGTAAGAGCTCACGTAAAATAAGGCACATAAGAGTAAAAACACTTATCATAGGCTTTAGGTTCTTAATGATTTAATTAAAATATTCATATTATATTATCGGGTTGAAATTTATGCAAAAGTTTCGATAAAATCGTGTAGAAATTATCAGTAAATATTTTTTTTTATTAATAAATAGAATCTAATCTACATATGTATTGCTATACCTAATAGTTTATCAGTGCAATAAAATGCTGTAAATACAACACATTGCGCTCTCGCATACCTACCAACGTGTACCTACGAATATAATAAATAATAAATATGTTGGGACATTAACACACAGTGGCACAAATTCAGAATTGGGGACTTGGCCCCTAGCGGAGTGGGTGGTATTTCTGGATAAGGGACGTGATAGGGAGTCGAAATGTTAAATAAATTTTTTAATACAACAAAAGATTCAAAAGTTATTGAGACTTAAAGTTACAACATTTCCATACATTTTCATATATTTCTTTACCACCATTCGGAGTGGGTGGTATTTTTAGATAGGGGAGGTGACAGAGAGTCAAAATATATTAAAAATATTTGGAGGAAACGTACGACTAAAAAGTTATTGAGACTTAAAGTTATAACATATCTAACACATTTCCATACATTTCTTTACCTAAATAAGTGATTACAACAGATAAACATACCTTTAACGAATAGTACGCATCCTTTTTTATGTACATTACACATTTTCACAACAATTAATGCTTTATTGTATTTAATATTTTAATAATTTCACAACACAAACAAAATGATCTTACATTTTGACAAAAGCAAAACTGACACTTTGTTTTATATTACCGCTTAAATGACAACAGATTATATTTGATTATTTTTGCTTTTTCTGTTGGTAAAATATTAATATTAATAAATAAATAAATAAAAAGAAAAATATTATTTTCACTTTATAAATACATTTATAACTTTTTATTTGATTTATGTAAAATATATTGTTTTACAATTGTACATTTAGTAAAAAAAATCATTTTTTTATCTGTGAATATTTTTAATTATTTATTTATTATTCGTCATATCTGGGTTAGGTTAGGTTAGAACATTTAAGATTATTTATTTATTATTCCTCATATCTGGGTTAGGTTAGGTTAGAACATTTAAGATTATTTATTAATTATTCGTCATATCTTGGTTAGGTTAGGTTAGAACATTTAAGATTATTTATTTATTATTCCTCATATCTGGGTTAGGTTAGGTTAGAACATTTAAGATTATTTATTTATTATTCCTCATATCTGGGTTAGGTTAGGTTAGAACATTTAAGATTATTTATTAATTATTCGTCATATCTTGGTTAGGTTAGGTTAGAACAGTTGCCACAACGCCATAAATGACTAGAAAACTAGAAAATTCGAATTTCACGCAAAGTACAAATAAAGACAATCATCTGGAGATCATTTTGACAATTGAAAGTGACGTTTTGACTCCAAGTGTCTAAATGGTAGTAATGTCAAAATAATGTATGGAAATGTTATAACTTTAAGTCTCAATAACTTTTGACTCTTTTGTTGTATTAAAAAATTTATTTAACATTTCGACTCCCTATCACGTCCCTTATCCAGAAATACCACCCACTCCGCTAGGGGCCAAGTCCCCAATTCTAAACGGCCGCCCACACAGTACCATCTAGTTCATTACACACACAATTTTAAATACGTACATGTTATAAAAATAAACACCCATGACAGGAGTACAAACATTCACGCTTATCACACAAATGAATGCCCCCAGCGGGACTCGAACCCGCGACCGCTGGCACAGCAAGTACGGTCACTACAAACTAAGCCAAACCTGTCGTGAAGTAGTAGTATGTATCATCTGCACAGGTGTGCACAGATAGGCCGTGCTAGTGTTGGAAATTATCACGTGGCCTTATTAGTTCAGTTAAACGCAACAGTGGCTATTGCCAAACATCACTAATTAGAAATTTATTGAACATACGCGTTCTGTTTGTTTCGTTGTAATGAAACAATTGTGTAATATTATAAAGCCGCATGTAAAATAACAATATAAAATTGTATCTTGAAAATTTCAATTTATATCATTGAAATCAAAAAAACTGAAAATAATAAAGAAGTACTAATAGTAATAATAATATAAAATAAAAATTGGTAAAATGCGAATTAGAATCGTTTGAACACGGGCTCTGTACATTAAGGAGTTTTAAGTATTAAAGTTTCTTTATATTTTCCTCGAAAACACGAATAATCAATAATGTTATTTAAAATAAACCATCAAAATTACGTTATACGTCCGTCGTAATTCGCCTAACTCTATGTTTTAATTACCAAAGTTAAATATTTTCTATCCAGTAGCAGAAGTAGAAAATCGATGTGACAAACAGGTAAAAAAACACAAGTTATAGGATGATGAGGATTCTGTTCTTTTCAATGACAATATGGATAACCAAGGGTTTTAATATATTAAATAAATTAAAATTACACTGTATATCCATCGGTAACTGATGAAACACTAGAAAATGATGTTTTTATCTCTTGTACATGTTAATTTTGTTATTGACTGAATATTT